ACTCCCCAGGCGCATAACCTTTGCCTTCCCCACTTCTAAGCTCCAAGTTCCCTTCCTTTGCCTCTATAACTTGTTTCCTAAGTCCATTTCTACAAATTACTTTTTCTACCTCTGTGCTTTTCCAAGTAAATGTTCTCTTCTATTTAGAGTCTTGGCTCTGAATTCTTTCCTAGCCAGAACCCAAGTATTGAGGCTGCTGAACCCAGGTCCTGTCTGACACCCCTCGTCTAGCCCTGGTGCCCTTCTCACTGCCCCCAACACTTGAATGTTTTCTCTTTGCTTCAAGATAAAAATCTAGTCACTAAACTTTTATAACATGGGATTTCTTTCGTGATCTGACCCTCCAGCTTCCCTTTGCCAGGCGGTCTGAGCTACTGCCAGCTTTCGGGTCTGCTCTCTCCCCACCTCTGGTCTCTGCTACCTCTTCTCCCTCCACAGCCCCCTCTGCCTGGCCATCACCTGCCCAGGTTTTTACCTGTGGGAAGGCTCCCCGACCTCTGCAATGGGCTCTCTCCCGGGGCGTCCAGAGGAGACCCCGCAGTTCTACCAGGGCAGCTCCCCCCACGGCCCGTTTTCCCTTGTTCCTCTTCTCCACCAGACAGTAAGTCTCCTGAGGGTTATTTCAGGTTATATCTCCGGTAGCTATGAGCTGAATTAGATGGGAAATTCGGAATTTGGAAAGACACCAATGCTGATGAGCTAGGCACGCAGGTGATTTAGATTCGTCTTTCTTTAACCCTCCCACGTCTGTAAAACCTAAGGGTCAGCACCCTCATTCCGTGGGTGGGGAAACGAAGTCTCCGCAGTCCAGTCGCCGCAGCAGGGCACACACCTGGTGGGAGCGCACCCCCGCGACTGGTACAGTGCTCTCTCCCGAAGCGGGGTGGCGCTGGAGCCCAGGGACCCCCACGCTGACCCCCTCCCCAGCAGCGGGCAGGAGATGGGGTGCAGGCCCCGCCCACCCTGTGCCCCGCCTACCCGGCGAGAGGCACTGGCCCCGCCCACCCGGCGGGAGGCGCCGGCCCCGCCCCTGTAGGAGGACCAGAGGCCGCGGGGCGGGCGGGACCCGCGGGGCTTGGTCCCGTGGACTTGCAGTGGGTAATAGTGACCCTTCCGTTCAGGTGGCCGAACGGGCGTGGCAGGTGGGCATGTGGGCGAGGTGCTCACCGACAAGGAGTCGCCCACGAACCCGAGGCCTACGGTTTCCGCTCAAACACCGAGCACAGGGACGCAGCCGGCGGCAGGAGCCAGGCCGCCGAGCGGGGGCGCCGCGAGCTGGCCTCCGGCTTAAGGCTGAGGGTGTTGCAAGCCCCAGCCTCTCGGCAAGTTGTTTTTCCGACTCGACTCCAGCTCCGCCGGGCGGCAGACACTGTACCTTAGAAGTTGCCGTCGGATCGGAAGAGCTTGGAAGCGCCTTTTGCATCCAATTGCCAAGTCCGAGCTTTTGAAGCTCCTCAAAGTTTACTTGAATCGCAGCCCGAAATACATCTTTTCCACCAGGGCTGGCCCGGGCTCAGGAATCCGGGGCTCCGTCGGAGACGCTCCCCTCCCGGAGCTGGAAGCGGCTCTCCGTGCTGCGCCCCTCTTTGCGCCTCTCCCTCCGGGAGCTGACCTGCCCCGGACACACCAGGGCGTGGACGCCAAGGCCCTGGCTCTGTACCTGCCCTGAGCTTGCCTTCTTGGGCAGCTACCATTGGGTTTCGTGTCCTTCTCTGCGCCCCCAAATACCCTGAACATTTCGTTTTATTATTTTATTTTATTATTTATGAGAGAGCGAGACTGAGAGTGACAGAGAGATTAATTTGTTGTTCCACTTATTTGTGCATTCATTGGTTGATTCTTTTAAAATGTTTTTATTGATTTCTTTTTTGAGAGAGAGAAAAGAGAGGGAGAGAAAAAGACCCATCTGCTGCCTCCCGCACGCCCCCTACTGGAGATAGATCCTAACAACCCAGGCATGTGCCTTGACCCGGAATCCAACCAGCGACCTCTGGGTTCATGGGACATCATCACTCAACCAACTGAACCCCACCGGCCAGGGCTCATTGGTTGATTCTTGCATGTGCCCTGACGGAGTCTGTGCTGTAATCAACTGAGCTCCTCTGCAGCACTTATCCTGTACATTCCTACCTGGGACAAAGAACCGACATTTTCAATGTATCTGTTTATTGATCCAGCTCAGAGACACTCTGCTCGCGGTCGCACAGGCCCTGCCCTCAGAAGCTTGGCTGTGGGATGAGTAAGTCCCTCTAGTCAGGAAGGAAAGCTTCCCAAACTTCCCCCTGGCTGTGCAGGACTGCGGGAAACAGATTAGAAGGCCGGGCCAACCCAGATAGAGGAGGAGGCCTGGGAAACAAGCACGGAACACGTTTGTGACTTATCTTTTGTACGTGGAAGCTACTCAGCTAGATTTTCAGGCAAATAGCTACAAATTACTGTAATTTTACATCCACCATCCTTTCCTCCTCCATCTACACCTGTAGATATACCGTATACACAGTTCTCCAAAAAAATGTATACACACTTTGAATAATTATAAAGGCAGTGTTTATTAAAATATAGTTCACTTTCAATATGTAATAGAATCTACTGTTAAAGTGTGTGTACGTTATTTTGGGACGCCCCGTATTACTCTGGGTATTCTGGAATTGTTAGGTTATATTCAATTAAGAGACTTGTATCTTTATCAACTTTCCCTTTTTGGGTAGCATAGAGATGTTAATATTGGGCAGTATAGGGATATTAGTGTTGGGTAGTGTGGTTTTCATGATCATAGAGGCTTGAGTATGACTTTTCATTTTTCAAAGGAAGCAATTCGTGCTTAATCTCTTCTCTGAGATTCATTCAATTATGGATGATTTTTAAATTTTAATTTAAATTATTCAAATAAGTGTTTCCTTTTCTTGGGAGGTCTTGTGTTTATTTAACAATGCTGTCTGTCATTTCTCAGAACGTCTTTTGACATATTTTAGGCCATAAGAAAGCAGACTTGGTTTATAGCACTAGAGGCCCTATGCACGAAATTCGTGCAAGAGTAGGCCTTTGCAGCCCCCGGCAGCTGCCTCAACCCTTGCAGCCCCAGCTTCTTCCGGTAGGTCATCCAGAAGGACATCTGGATGGTCGTTCCGGTTGTCAGCCGTTCGGTCGATTTGCATATTATGCTTTTATTATTATAGATGTCAAATACCCCAGAATTCTGAAAGCAAGATGAGCAGGCACACCCATGCAGACTTAGGGCTCCCACTGCCCTCCACATTTCTTCAATTCACAATTAGCATTTTTTCAACATGAGCAGACTAAAATATCTCAGTTTTCTGAAACAAAAAGGAACACAATTTATTGACCTTCCTTAACCAGAGGAAACACATGGTGTCATTTAACACTAACTCCAGATTTGGATGAAATTTTTAGAGTGAGCAACGCCTCTGATTGAACTAAGTGTCTCTTGCCAGGAAGGAGTCATGCAAAGCTCCGTTTGTTCCACTGAGAACAGAGCAGGCCAAGGTTTAAAATTATATTCCCTGGGTTTCTGCAGGTTATTAAAATATTTGGCTAAATGGTTGAATACACTTAACTGAAAGTCACAATATTTTCAGATACAATATTTGGGACTGAACTAATTGCTGTTCATCTGTGTCTCAAACGGATGGAGCAGCCCCCTCAGAGGCTCCCATGGCAATGCGCTGTGGGCTTTGCAAACCATAGACTAAGTGGGACACAACTTGCTGAATGGTCATTAGCCTAAAACATTTTCTGTGAAAAAACACACCTTATGCGTAGAATGCAACATTTGTACAACTTTTTAGGATGAAACAGGAAATGTTTTTAAAATGTTTGCAGTGCCAGCATCAGCTCTCCAATTGCCTGAGGGTATATGATCACTTTTCTTTTCCGTAAGATTGTTTGGAGAACTTTGAGATGCTCTAACCTAGTATGTTGATCTCAGTCATAGCTCATTAAATGACCTTGAGGAACGCTAGCTAACCTTGACCTTGGCTGTGTTTTGGTCTTTATCATTTAAAAAAATGATTTCTATTGATGAGAGAGAGAGAGAGAGAGAGAGAGATCTATAAGAGAGAATCATTGATTGGCTGCCTCCGGCACACCCCCTACAGGGGATCAAGCCAGAAACCCAGGCATGTGCCTTGACTGGGAATCAAACTGGGCGACCTATGCTCAACCAACTGAGCCATGCTAGCTGAGGTTTTTATCATCTTAATTTCTCTCTCTCTCCTCTCTCTCTCTCTCTCTCATCTCTCCTTACCTCCCTTCCTTTCTTTTTCTGTCTCCTACACATGCTTCCTTATAAGGAGCTTGTTATACCAGCTTTTAAAGGGCGCCTCCTTTCTTAGCTGTACTTGAGGACTAAAAGAAGAGGCCAAACTGCTATGAGCTCTCTTTTCTTTCCTTTAGAAAGTTGGCTATAAATACCTCAGTGTTAGGCGTGAGGTTCAGGGTCTCAGACCCTGCTGGTTACCTGAGAATGCCAGTTCCCACCCAGCCACACCATTCCTCCCATTGGGCGTCTTTACCCCGGACTCAGACCTGTTCACATAACTACTCCGCGGCACCTGCGGGGACTCCTTCACGTTCTTCCTATGAAAGTCCAGCTGCTTCTCCTCCTTCCCTACAAAGACAAAAGATGACGGCATCAGGTATGTTGTGCCAAAATCTGATGTACCGTTGCTGCAGTTTCCAAGTTGGCTAGAGGTAAAAATAGTTCATGATGCCATTTTATTTAAATTTATTATTTTTTAAAATATATTTTTATTGATTTCAGAGAGGAAGGGAGAGGGGGAGAGAGATACATCAGTGATGAGAGAGACCCAGGCATGTGCCCTTGACTGGAATCGAACCGAGGACCCTTCAGTCTGCAGGCTGACACTCTATCCACTGAGCCAAACTAGCTAGGGCTTATTTAAATTTTTTAAAAATGTGTTTATTTTGCCAACACCTTTAAAAAATTGATTTTAGGGAAAGGAAGGGGGGGGAGAGAGAGAGAGAGAGAGAGAGAGAGAGAGAGAGAGAGAGAGAGAAAGAGAGAGAGAGAATTCTGTTGTTTCACTTATTTATGCATTCACTGGTTGCTTCTTGTATGTATCCTGACCGGGGATAGAACCCAAAACCTTGGCGTATCAGGACGACAATGTTCTAACTAACTGAGCCACCCAGCCAGGGCTTATTTAACTTTTAAAACCCTGTGTCTTCTTTAAATTTTTTTTCAATTATTTCAACTCCGCCTCTTTTTGCACAAAGCTTGACAAAATCTTTCTATAATCAAAAAACAGGACCATGCTCTAAAAATACTTGAAATATGAAGAGATGAGAGTCTGGATGACAGATATATTTCAAAGATAAAGTTAAAAACCTAACAACTGTTCACACCCCCCCCCAACACACACACACACACACACACACACACACACACACACACAGTAACAGGAAGGAAACGACCAGCCCACTCAGAGAGAAATGAAAAGCACTTACCTAACAGCCTTCTCATTGTACTCCAGGGAATCAAAAGGCAGAGTCTGGGAGGAGAGCAGGACAGGGTGAAGAGGCCCACGTTTGGGCAGATTTATGGTCCCCTCACGCAGTGAAGGCGTGATTTATGAGGAACATGCAGTCAGGCCAGGGCAGAGTATGGGAACGCATGACTCTGGACTTGGCCCTAAACCTCATCATTAACTACGACACAAATCACATCTCCCATCCGAGCCCACAGGAACTTAATGCTGGGTCTCAAAGGTGTGCAATTAAGCCAGCCCAGCACTGGGCAGAAGGTTGACGATAAACAGATGTGATGTATATTAACGGCCTAATGTGACATCAAAGAAGCAGTTTGGGATTATTTTCTTTCCCTCTCCCAGTGGGCTTTGATCCGGCTCTCTCTCGTATTGCCAGGATTAGTGTGATGTCAGGGGCTCAGTGTTAGCAATGGACGGCCACTTAAGGACTCATTGTGTGGCTGCGGCTGCCACTCACTGAATCCAATTTCCTGCGTAGAGAAGAGACCATCATCAATTCTACTTAAAACAAAGCAAGCAAAACAAACTCAGGAAGGCTTAGGCTATTGTACCAACAAATATGAGGAATAAAACTTTCTCTAGAGATCCTGCTCCTATTATATTCTTTTATGACTGGATATTTTGCAAACATTTTAACATAAAAGAAATTTAAAAATGGAATTCATCTGCATAAAAGCTGATATTTGAAAATGGAAGAGATTCAATATATCAGTAAAGGAGAAAGAGAAAACAAGATATAATCATTTGATTTTAAAAATTCTCCTATGCTTTTACTGTCCTTCTCAGTGCACATGAGGAAAGATGAGCAAAAATACATTCTAGACCAGTAAGTAAAATGGAGACCTTGGATGCCCCTTTTTAACATTGAGGAGTTTGAAAGAGAAATTTCTTTTGTTTGTGAATGTCAATTGATAAGCTGAACTAGCGTTTGTCATTCCTTTAGCTTCCTAGCATCCAAACACCACTTCCTGTATTTGTAGGAACCCCGCCTCCGTGACAGAAGCTGAAAATGCTGGATGCTTGCTTCCCCTGGCAGCTTTGCATAGAGTCCTCTGCACTAGATGCCTTTCTCCAGCACTTGGAATTGGAGGCTAGTGATACAAAACTGACTGTATTCTGGCACCAGGGGCCACAGTGCTGGCTCCTGAAGCCGCTTCCCAGAGGTAGCAGGGACACATGTTTAGGGTCCTCGTCCAAGACTGATGTTAGTGGTGCAAGTGGCAGTTGTGTGCCCACAGACTCCCTCCGTAGCATGAGTGTGGGCATGGTTCCCGGCTCAGCTGCGACCTCTAAATCGGATTCTCTGGCTCCCACAGCGTCTATGATTACTCAACATATACAAATGAATCTGTTTTCTGCCTAAAATAGCTTGAGTTTGCTCCTGTTGCGTATCACAGGAACCTTGATTCATGTAGGAATCAATGACAGGAGCGACTTCACACAACAGCCTCTCAGGGAATCATCAGAACCTGGGAGTCATCATTTGGACTCTGTGGTGACAGCCGTAAAAATCCATCTGGTCTGAAAGGACAGAACTCTGGGAGCCCATGCCACACAGTGGCAAAACTGTGAACCAGAAAAACATCTGAAGTGCTCATTAAAGGCAAGGCCTGGAGAAACGAGGGGTGACTGACACAGAACCCATGAAAGCCAGGAGGGACTGAAGAGGGTAGTTACTGCTGCACAGCTGAAAAGAAAAAGAGAATGCCCAGCTCCGAGTACGAAATTGTTGGCTAAGGACCAGCTAAAAACAAATGACTTTCTATGATAGCACTTAAAGGAAAACTTGTCTCTCCCCGTTACTAGGGAAATTCCCTCATTGAAATGAGCACTCTGATTTCTGTAGGGAAAAAACCAGAGTCCAAGTTGGATTTGATTGATGGCTAAATGATATGAGATGAATTCGCAGGTCCCCCAGTTCTAAAAAAATGAGTTCTCTCTGTGAAAGAATGGTGCCCACTAATTGCACAAAGAATGGAAATAGCTCGTGCCTGGACTCTCCAACACATTCGGAGCCTCTCTTGCTGGAGGAAGTTGCCACGCTTCTCTTCTCATGAATGAATCCATCTGGCCTTCCTTGAAGACCCCACAACAGTGAGCCTGCTTTTAAGAGTAAGCCAGTTCTTCGCTCGCCCTCTCCCCTCCATTTTTGCCAAAGCATAACTAGAGTCAGAGTCCCTGCCCTGGGTGGCCAATTACAAAGTCAAATTGAGGGGAGATATTTTGCTCATTTATTTTAGGGGGAAAAAAATAAGATGGACTGCCTAAGTGGTCTTCTGATGGTGCTAGATCAAGTAGGAAACAAGAAAATTTAAATTAAACTGAAATGATCAGTGTGGGCCAAATTACCAGCGATTCTGAAATCACTGGGCTGCTTCAAACAGCTGGGAGCAATTCTAACTGTGTGCTCCACTTTTATTTTAAGGCCCACTTTTGTATGTAAGGCCCACTCTGGCAAACTGTGGCCCAGACCAGCTACAACAAGGCTTCACGTAGGCCTGATGATGCAGAAGATAACAGGAGCCAGATTATCTGCAGTTGATGAAGAAATTTATTTTGTGGAAATAGATGGAGCCCTGATTAATGACATGCGCTATCCTTCTTGCAGTGGTTCTCAACCTTCCTAATGCCGCGACCCTTTAATACAGTTCCTCATGTTGTGGTGACCCCCAACCATAAAATTATTTTCGTTGCTACTTCATAACTGTAATTTTGCTACTGTTATGAATTGTAATGTAAATATCTGATATGCAGGATGTATTTTCATTGTTCACGACCCACAGGTTGGGAACCGCTGCGCCCTAAAGTGATACGAAAGCCAGTTAGCCATGTCTCTAAGCGCTACTGGCCTGTTGAATTCATTACTCTGTGAGGGCATTGAGACCACCAAAAGTAGAGTACACTTCTGTGATTAACAATGCAGATGCTGAGGTGTTTGTCTACTCACACCAACCTGTGTTTTTAATCATCTGTGTATATTCTGAAGCAATTGTACAGCCAAGTGAGAGGACTCTTAGCCAAGTCTGAGTTGTCATTCTCGCCAGTGTACAAACACGGCCCCGCCTTTGTGGTCTGCCCTAGCTTAGCCATGCTAATTGAAGTTGAGATGCTAGAAATTCCTGGGTATAATGTGAAGGAAATAATTCAAAGACTTAGGGAGACAGGAATGCTGGAGTAAATTTTTAGTGGTGAACTGCACACTCACCTCCTAGCTGTGCTCCTTGAACAGCTAGAAGACACTCGGATCGCCAAGTAGAAACACTGGGAAGGGGAGCACCGGCATCTTTGACTATTGCTGGAGCCGTTGTCAGGAAATAGCCTCATTGAAATGAGCACTCTGACTTCTGTGGGGAGAAAATCTATGATCCGGGGGTGGCAGACGTTAGGTGGAAGCCATTAATTAACGATGCAAAGTGGGTGTCATGACAAAAATAGGCAGCAGGGTCAGGGTCCTTTGCAGAATAGTCCAACCGACAAGACCAGGCAGTGGCTGATAATTATGAGTTCCCCCAGGTCTAATTATAGGGCAGCCCACGCAGGTCCTGCCTGATCTATATAATAATAACAAACAAAACAAAACAACAAAATCTCTGGGTTTGGTGAACAGAGACCTGAATCACTCTTTTTTTTTAAAAAAAAATATTTTATTGACTTTTTACAGAGAGGAAGGGAGAGGGATAGAGAGTTAGAAACATCGATGAGAGAGAACATCAATCAGCTGCTTCCTGCACACCTCCTACTGGGGATGTGCCCGCAACCAAGGTACATGCCCTTGACTGGAATCGAACCTGGGACCTTTCAGTCCGCAGGCCGACGCTCTATCCACTGAGCCAAACCGATTAGGGCCTGAATTACTCTTATAGTGATTTATAGATGCACGGTGATAGGACCTGATGAGCAGGAAGTGGCAGATGACCTAGATGCCTTAGTAAGACCCTGCATCCCGGAGGGGTAGGTAAATCCCACAAAAACACAGGGGCCCGAGGCCACGTGGTGCTTCTAAGGGTCTAGAGGCCTGAAGCAGGTGGAGATATCTTCTAAGTGAAGGTTAAAATGACAGACAGATACAACCATAAAAAGATATATCCACATGTCAGCATATTATTTTAAGCAAATTCAAAAGATGATGCTGCATTACAGAGGTTTATGCCAAAAAGGGGAGGTTCTTCAAGCAAGCCAGCTCCCTTCCGATTCCCAGTCCTGATCAGTTCCTCCTGGGGACAGAGCCTCCACTGCTGACCCTTGAGCCAGGCAGAGGTTCCCCTCCTGTTGGGCGTGAAAACCAGTGCCTGGCTTCATGGGGGGAAGCTTGACCCTCAGGGGTGCTGGTTTGGCTATAACTGGCTCAGACTCTTTATAACTAGAAGGTTCCATCTGGGACATGGCCACCTGGGTAGTGTGAGTCAAAGAACCGTGATGGGAAGAGAAACTCCCCTGGAACACACCCCGATGGTGATAGGCCTGGAGCGACCCCTTCTCACATTTCACGTCTAGTGGGAATCTCTTCCCGACCCTTCATCTCTGGGTCAGGTGTCCCGCCTGTGGTCCCCCTTAACAAACCGGGCACACTCACCGGCCACGGCCAGTCTACCTGTCTGCCTCCTTTACCCTGGCTCCGTGGTTCTCAGTCCTGGCTGCACATCCGTTATCTAGAAAGCTTGGGAACCCCCCCCCCCCCCCATGCCCAGGCTCCGCCCCTACCCAATTAAAGCAAAACCTCTGGGATGGAGCCCACACATCAGGGTGTTTTAACAGCTCCCCAAGAGGATCCACTAGTCAGCCATGATTTGGAACCACTTCCCTAAACAAGGAGCTCTTTGAAAGCAGGGCACGTGCTCGCTTATTCATCATTGGCATTAAATGAGTTAGTAAGCCTCTTAGAATAGTGCCTGGCATACATTTAGCTCTTAATAGTCTGTCATTTCATTATTATTATTAGTAGTAGTAGTAGTCAAAACTGCTGGCCAGTCCTGGCCAGTGGATCAGTTGGATGGAATGTCGTCCCGTACACTGAAAAGGTTGCAGATTTGATTCCCCGTCAGGGCACATACCCAGGTTGCGGATTCCATCCCTGGTCAGGGTGTATATGGGGTCAACCAACCAATGTTTCTCTCTCACATCAATGTTTCTCTCTCTCTCTCTCTCTCTCTCTCTCTCTCTCTCTCTCTCTCTGAAAATCAATGGAAACATATCCTTAGGTGAGGATTACAAAACAAACTACTACTGGCCAGTACGGTTCCAGACCAGTAGGCATCTTACCACCCATCTTAACTTACATAAACTATATATGCTGAAGACAAAGAGAAGAGGCAGGAAGAGAGAAATACTGTTAGAAGCCTGGGTGAGTTCCATGCACCCTTCTACTTAGTAAGCATAGGCCCCGGAATAATCCTGCAACAGGTGATCTGGGTCTGCCTTTCCTTCCATTGGGCTTAGTTCTAAGTGCCTTCCACAGTGTGAGCATCTTGCTGTGCTATATACAGTACAGTTAACCCTTGAACAACACTGGGACTAGGGGTGCCCACTGCATAATAGAAAATCCACATAAACTTTTTAAAAAATACATATTTTATTGATTTTCACAGAGAGGAAGGGAGAGGGATAGAGAGTTAGAAACATCGATGAGAGAGAAACATCGATCAGCTGCCTCCTGCACACTCCCCACTGGGGATGTGCCCACAACCAAGGTACATGCCCTTGACCGGAATCGAACCCGGGACCCTTGAGTCCGCAGGCTGATGCTCTATCCACTGAGCCAAACCGGTTAGGGCCACATAAACTGTTAAAAATATATATTTTTTTATTGACTTCAGAGAGGAAGGGAGGAGAGAGAGAGAAACATCAATGATGAGAATCATTGACCGGCTGCCTCCTGCACGCCCCCTACTGGGAATTGAGCCCGCAACCTAGGCATATGCCCTAACCAAGAATCGAACCATGACCTCCTGGTTCATAGGTTGACGCTCAACCACTAAGCCATGCCAGCTGGGCTCCATTTAAACTTTTTTTTTAAAATATATTTTTATTGATTTCAGAGAGGAAAGGCGAGGAGGAGAGAGAGATAGAAACATTAATGATGAGAGAGAATCATTGATTGGCTGCCTCCTGCACGCCCCCAACTAGGGATCGAGCCTGCAACCCAGCATGTGCCCTTGACCAGAATCGAACCGGGGACCCTTCAGTCCACAGGCCGACACTCTATCCACTGAGCCAAACCAGTCAGGGCTCCACATAAACTTTTGAGTCCCCCAAAACTTAACTACTAATAGTCTACTGTTGACCAAAAGCTTTATCGATAACATAAACAATTGACACATATTTGGTGTTATATGTATTATATACTGTGTTTTTATAAAGTAAGATAGAGAAAACGTGTTATTAAGAAAAATCATAAAAGAGAAAATACATTTACAGCACTACCTATGTTTATTGAAAAATATCTGTGTATAAGTGGGACCAGTGCAGTTCCAACTCATGTTGTTCTAGGGCAGTGGTTGGCAAACTGCGGCTCTGCAAACTGCGGCTCGCGAGCCACATGCGGTTCTTTGGCCCCTTGAGTGCGGCTCTTCCACAAAATACCGACTTCTGCACATGGGCCACGAAGTTTCAATCGCACTGTACGTGTGCACCCGCACGTGGTATTTTGTGGAAGAGCCCCACTCAAGGGGCCAAAGAGTCGCATGTGGCTCGCGAGCCGCGGTTTGCCGACCACGGTTCTAGGGTCAAGTGTACTGGCAATTTACGTTTTTGAGAGTGATTTTGACTCTGATTTTTAACTAAGGTAGTTACAGGATAAATCCACCCAGAGTCAAGAGCAGGGGTGGGCAAACTTTTTGACTCGAGGGCCACAATGGGTTCTTAAACTGGACCGGAGGGCCGGAACAAAAGCATGGATGGAGTGTTTGTGTGAACTAATATAAATTCAAAGTAAACATCATTACATAAAAGGGTACGGTCTTTTTTTTTTTAGTTTTATTCATTTCAAACGGGCCGGATCCGGCCCGCGGACCGTAGTTTGCCCACAGCTGGTCGAGAGTCTAAGTTCCTGTTCCTGGCTCTTTGAGCAAGTCTTCTTCCACCTTCTGGGTCTCATTCTTCCCTTGAGAGTCCTTCCATTCTCTGACTTTGAAATCTGGATGATCCCTGTCTTATATGCTCTTGCCTGTCTCCGTGACCCTGATAGCTCAGGCTCCCTAGTCATGACTGTGTGGGCCTCACTCCTGGCTGCCCTGCCCAGCTGCCCCTCAAGGCGCTGGCCCCACCAGGGCCCCAGGAGGCTTCCCCTTGCCTGGCTGGTGCAGGGGAGGTTGTTACATCAGCCTGAAGAGCTCAGCTGCTGTGTGTGCTGAATAAGTGGTCTTGGAAACCAGTTGCCATTTGCACCTTAGTCCGAAGGAACAAGGTGGCCAAGGGGAGAGGGTAGCACCGTAAACAAGCATTCTCTTTCTTGGATGCTGGTTCTGCAGAATTGAGAGAGCTCTAGGAGACCAGCTCAGGCTTTAGGGCGGATCTTTAAAAAAAAAGGACCATCTGACATTTCACTCAGTCAGCCTGGCCTTTGGCCCAACTGTCCCAATGAAGGGAGAGTTCTCAGCCTGACAGCTCATCAGAAACAGCGGGACAGATGCCAACGACAGCCTCCCTCCCCCACATTGTAAACAAGGTGTGAAGTGCTAATCATACACACGTGGCCGACCGGTCCATTTAAAAATGCACAAAACCAATAGGAGAAATGAGGTCACTTCCTGTTGGAGATGAGATGCCAACATTCTGATGTACTTATTTTATTTTTATTTAAAATATTTTTATTGATTTCAGAGAGGAAGAGAGAGGGAGAGAGAGAGAAACATCAAGGATGAGAGATGATCATTGATTGGCTGCTTCCTGCTCGCCCCACACTGGGGATGGAACCCATGTACCTGCCGGAGAATCAAACCATAACCTCCTGGTTCATAGGTCCACGCTCAACCACTGAGCCACGCTGGCCAGGCTCTTACATTATTTTAAATGAGTTTTTGGGTAAGACTAGGGATTTTTATTTTAACCATATGTAGATAGGTTCTAATGAGATTTGACCTGCATTTAGAAATAATGAGGTGACAAATCTTTTAAATCCAGGTTGTGCATTTAGGGTTGTATGTTAATTTTGGTTTGTTCTTAATTTTAAAAGGGTCACAGACTGGTCTTGTCCTTGTGGAGTTTCCTGGGTGTCCTGTTAGAGTTGAAAGAGATCGACATGCTCAAGAGTCGCCCATTAACTTCACCATCGAAATCTGTTGCCCTTCCTGACAGCACAGGATTGACAGAGCAGTAGCCCCTCTATGGGCCAGGCAGCAAC